AAAAGATTTAAATTTGATTTAACATGCTGTGCCTTTTGTGAATGTCCAGAAGAATCACTTAATCACCTATTTTTTTCTTGTCCCTTTTCCTCTAAACTATGGGGTGATATTAAAAGGTGGCTGTCCCTTAAAATTGATAACATTCCTGAGATTAACATCAGCCATGTTTTATACTATGTTGATGGTCTTGATAGTAAAATATCTGATATGGTAAATATTGTTTTTTGCTTGTTAAATATCATATACACTGCTGTAAATGGAGAGGTTCTACCCCTTGTTTTGTTTTCTTTCTCAACCAATTTAAATTGTATTTCACCTCATTGAAACTTTTGAAGTCTGTTTATGCAAAAAAAATAACCGCTCTGCTCTTCTTTTGTTTTAATTTCTCTTGCCTTTTATTTCTTTTGCCTTAATGTCATTATCTTTATTTTTTTTAGCCCCACGCCTTGTTTATTCTTTTATGTAACTAGGCTGCAATGTTCTTTGTACCTCTACGAGTCTTTGTATACTGTTTAACATTTAATAAAAATAAAAAAAAACTGTGGTGTGTGTCTTTCCCTTACTCATGCATTTTCATCAAGAAATGTTTAGATGTCTTGTCTTTTCCTTATGAGTGTTAGTTGTTTTTACATTTCATCGTCTCCTCTAATTTTTCTTTTCCTTATACATTTCTGCGTCATTATGCAAATGAGGAGGGTCGGTGTCTAACATTTGAGTCTCTCTTCAAACATCTCTGATTCAGAACTCCTAATTTGTGCCGATTGAAAATGGAGGTGTCTGGCCAGTGTCTCCTTAAAAACTTGAGAGGCAGCTTATGATGCATTATACTCTTGCTCCTTTTTGCACTCTTGTATTTCTTTTTTCCCTCTCCTATCCAGTTAGCCATGATTTTTGTTAAATTAATCTAATTTTAAGTTATTCCATGCATTACTTTTATTTGTTATGGTTCTACAGTCAGGTCATAACAAACTATATGCACTTATGATCAAAAATGCATGAGTAAGCAAAAAGGAATTGAGAAACAAAGATGGTCCTAAATAGAATAGCTAAACAAGTACACACACACACATTTGCATTTCCCCTTGTGGGGACCAGGCTTCGGTCATCACAACGTAATATGTGTCAGGAAAAGGGTCCCCACAAGATATTACAAACGCACGCATGCACACACACACACACACACTCTCTCTCTCTCTCTGCCAGAGTAGCTATCAAAACTCTAGTTATTACTGAAAATCAACTTCAGAAGACGTGATGCTCAATAGTCTATAGTGATGTGAAGTCATTGATACTCCTGAAAGGTTTAGCAAGAGGCTTGACTTGAACACAGTTTGTTGCTACAATGACAAAAAAAATTTACTGATTATGAAGAAAGGTATCAAAAATATTTGTAGCAACAAACTTTTATTAAAATGTAAAATAATCTTTTTCAAAGCTGGAACTACTTTTAGGTTTGTCTTTTAAAAAAATTTAATGAGAAAAAAAAAAAACTTCTTGGTCAAGGAAATAATGTGACAAAGAAGAACATTTTCTAGAACAGGGGTGTCCAAAGTCGGTCCTCGAGGGCCGGCTTCCTGCATGGTTTAGTTCTCTCCCTGGTTTTACACACCTGCATCAAATGATGGCTCATCAGAAGGCCTAAGCAGAACACTGACTTGCTGAGAAAATTGTTACTACCACTTGGGAGAGATCTAAAACATGCAGGGTGCCAGCCCTCGAGGACCGACTTTGGACACCCCTGTTCTAGAGTTTTTCTTTCCATAACTTCAGTCTCCATCCAGTCGATGAGTACAAAGTATTCAGGGCCTAACAGAGCTGCTTCCCTTGGTATGGTGACTGACAGAACTCAACCCACCATATGCTTACTGTGGACAGAACCACAAATCATTTCCTAACTCAGAGAAGCAACATCAGCTGCCTGATCTAAAGCCTGTTTAGAAAGCAGCAGCTTCTCCATCAGGAGGATCCTTATCACGGCAATAAATCCATCCTAACTAGTTACACTCAAAACTATTTTTTGTTCCCCCAGTTCCTTGAGTTGATGTGAAGTCAGGACAGAACCAGGATGAGTTCTCCAGCCCTCTGAGTCACCGGCATCCTCTTCCACTGCTTCCTGTGAGGCCCACAGTGGCCCACTCAGTCTGGTTTCATTCCTTCTGGCTCTGCTGCTGCCACGCCACGCCAAGTCACTTCACTATGTCACTCAGAAAGACGTCCCTTCAGCTGTTCGGATGTAATCCTTAAAATCAGTAGGCACATTCAGCATCGAGCAGACCTGCAGGACAGCAGATAGAGAACAGCAGATAGAAGACAGCTTTTTGTTTTTTTAAAGAAAAACCCATTCATTTGCTTTTCAGTTGACATTCATTCACTAAAATTGAAGGTTTCCCACTGACAGAAACAACACACAGAGAGTAAGAGAGTTATTATGACTGCAGCGGGTCAGACTGATGTCTACCTGTCTGAACTTGGCTCGCAGCTTCTCTGTGTCCTCCTGCAGCTTCACAGACTGTGGGTCATCAAGGGGAAACTTCTGGGTCAAATTCAGCAGAGCTTCCAGAGCCCTGAGGCGCTTCCTGGGGACAAATCATCACGTTAGATTCTGGTTCAGCTGAAATGTCTGGCTGCTTTAACCATGTTCTGCACCAGGAGTCCTACAGAGCTACCATCTAAAGGCTGTTTATTATTGTGACTTTATTAAATATAAGTTCACAAAAGAGATGGAAACATTTTCATTTTTTGTATTAGAATCATAATTCTGTACAATTATCTTTTTGCAAAAATAATTATGCACACAGACAGGAAAACCATTACTTCTCTGTTACTTTCCTACATGTTCAGAATTTAACAACGTTCTGGACTGATGGAATTCTGCAGCTGTTTCATAATGACATGAATCTTCAGAGATGCAGCTGGACACTGTGGAGTCAGACTGAGTGGAGCCAGAACGTCGAGCTGGTCATACCTTGATCTGTCATCAGACTGATGCTCCAGCAGACATTTCCAGCTGATCGCAAAACCGTAATAAAAGGAGATCTGAGAGAAAAAATATCACAGTTGTTAAAGCGACACACTTCAATTCAACTGGAGTTAGAAACTTGGTGCCACTTTATTAGGTACACCATGCTATTACTAATTTGCCTTTAGACCAGCCTCAGTTCTTCATGACATTACATTAGCATTCAACATTAGTCAGAAACGGTTGTTGACATGATGACGTCAAACAGCATTATCGGTTTTATATGAGCAAAACATTTAAATGGATGACCTGACCTGACCTGAGCCTCATCAGCCCTGCTCACCTCAGATGACAGATTGGCTCCGTGAGACGCCCCGTGTCTCCAGCCGTTGTGCAACCCCCGCTTGGTCCCCCTCTGGAAGCCCTCCTGGTAGCCCTCACCGCGGAACCTGACAGAGTACAAGCAGAAGCTTTCAATCAGCAAGATGCTGCTGTCTGTGATTGGACATCTTTCTTCCATCTACTGGCCAACCAGGCGGTTTGGTTAGGATTGTTTAATGAGAACAGGACCAGGTCAGCTATATTTTCTGTTTTAATTTATAATGCAGATAATCTTTTTTATTATTATTGTAACTCATTTCATAATCACCACACATAGTGTCAAATATTTCAAGCCTTCATTTCTTGTCATTTTGATGATTATGATTGTACAGTAGTTTCTATTTCTATTCAGACCAATGAATCACATCTGTAGGCTTTTCACAACAACTTATAAATGCAGTTAAGATGGACAGGGATCAGTCTACAGTATTTCTGTTCTATACCTGCTGCTAAGCTAACTTGATATTCCAGAAGGTTCTGTATCCCTCCGCCTCTGAGTCGTTAGCTCTCCTCAAACATCGCCCGGTCAGTTCTCACCCACAAAACTCACCTTTCATCTGCGAAAAGAATACTGTCAAACAGATCCTCAGCTCCCTGCTGTCCAGCCATGTTTCTAACGTGATCCACTTCTTGTCTGAGTGCATTTCTTCTTCCATTGTTTAATGGCAGTTCAGGTTTAGGCGCATTACCGCCACCTTCTGGACTGGAATGTAAATCTTCTTCTTCTTCTTCTTCTTCTTCTTCTTCTTCTTCTTCTTCTTCTTCTTCTTCTTCTTCTTCTTCTTCTTCTTCTTCTTCTTTTTTTTTTTCTTCAAAGAACTTTATTTAAATGAAATTAGTATACATCAAAACAGCCAAGCAACACAGCCAGGGGTGATTAGATAAGAACATGCAAAGACGTACATATTGAGATTGTCCTTTGAGCCTTTTCATTTGTAGAGTCCGTTATTGATTTGATATATAGTCCCATATCTTTAATGAAAAAAGAGAAACAAGGTGTTTTATTAGCAAATTTGCATTTATGAATATAAAATTTAGCAAAGAGTATTAGTAAGTTTATTATAAAGAAATGATTGGCATCCTTTCTATGAAATCTATAGAAACAAAATAAAACATTTTCCCAGCATAAGGAAAAATTCTTTAAAATTTGGTCATTAATAAACCTGCTAAATTCTGACCAAAACCTTTGTATAAAAGGGCAGAGCCAAAAGAGATGCATCACAATTTCTGGATGGCCCTCACAGAAACTGCAATTAGTGTTTATGTCGCTTTTAAATTTTACCATATAGTGTTTAGCAGGGTAAATTTTATGGAGAATTTTAAATGACCCTTCCTTCACCTTGTTTATAATTAAATATTTATGGGGGGTCATCCAAACTGTTTTCCAGTGAATATCTGGGATATAACGGCTCCAGTAAAATGTTATGGCTGGACGAGAAACAATAAGTTCTTGGAACAACCTGCGTATTCTCTCATTGCTTTTCCTAAACTCCAGTGAAAAACAGATTTTTCCAACAGATGATTCGGCTAGAACAGGGATACAAGGTGGAACAGACTGAGTATAATTAGTGTTTTTAAACAACATTAAGGTGCCCAAAGGTATAGCATTAACCACCATGGAGAATTCCTGGATACTAACTGGAAAATTATATATCGAGCAGAATTCATTGTAATTGATTAATCTCTTCTTCTTCTTCTTCTTCTTCTTTAGGTTTTAACGGCAGCTTGCATCCATTGATGTTGCACTACTGCCATCTATTGGATCCTAATATGTATGCCTCAAATTCTCTTACAGATCCCAGCATTTTTTTTAAAAAAACGAAAGATCTTCTTTCCCCCCTCAATACTATTTGACTGATCGATCACATTCTCAAATTTCAATTCCCTACTAACACCTAATTCCGTTTTTAATAATCTTCTTTGATTTGCATATTTTCTACAACTAATCAAAACATGTTCTATCATTTCTACAGTATCATACCAACTACATAAACCAGTAAGATGTTT